CTTTCCACTGAAAACTGATCAAATGCAAAGTCATCAGAATCAGTAAACATGTCTGCTGAAAACATGTAAGCCTGTCAGCTGAAACTTGTCCCAGAATTGTATCTAACGGGATCCAAAATCTCCTCTGAAAAGAATTTTAATTATAACAGGAAAAAAAAAATCCCAACTAGGAGATAATATATAGCAATTCAGGCAGCTGAACACACTGCCCTTCTACTGATGGGCAAGAGAGAAGAATCAGCGAATGAGTCCATCACCTATTTTATTATTTCAGAAAACTTGTTAATTGTGATTAAGGAAAAGTAAGTCCATGATTTTGTAATAACTTCAGGGAACTAGATAGAGGCACATACATACACAAAACCATCTATTTCTTTTATGTCAAAGTAGTTTATGAAAAGGTGGTTCTGATCTAACCACTGATCTGAGCTATGGTGGGAATCACACCAAACTGAGAGGCTAGAAAACATATCTAACTTCTGTTAAATCTGTTTCATTCCCCTGCCATTTCTGTTCAGAAACTAGTTCCCATTTGCAATCTTGTTTAGAATAAAGAAACTAATTAGTTTATCCACAAACTAGCTCATAGTCACTGATGTAGGTGCAGGTTGTGTTGAATTAAATTAGCTGTAAAATAATGACCTAAGATACTTCAGGCAGCAGTGCCACAACAGCACAGAGTCTGACACTGCCTGCAAAAGCCCAGTGAGAGCTCCAACCCAGATGCAACACTCAGTTAAAAATCAAACAGCTGCAAGGGTGGAATCATCCCCTTTGCCTTAACACAGAACGCTCAGAATTGAAGTTCAGGAGCTGGTTGAAGAGCTCGTCAGTCATCCATGATGCATGGACACCAGCAGCAGGAGCTACAGAACACCCACTTCAACCACTCATTTTCCAGCCCCTGTTTCACAGGATGCACTGCCTTAGGTAAGCAGGTGTATAGAAACCAGCCCAGCCTGAAAGTAGCAGCAGTAAAACTGTGTCCTCATTGTAATTGTAGCTTGCTTACACAAAAGCTCCAAAGGAGCACTTCGCCTGCCACATCCTGACCATCTGTATTTCTCCATGCAAATTAATAAGCACAAATTTGAGAGAGTTGCAGATTTTTTGCACATATAACAGTAGAGCTTATTTATATCTTGTTTCCCATCAAATAAAGCTTTTTTATATTTACAGATAATAAAAAAATTACAGAAGACAAGCCCAGAATCAGTCTAAACTGCAAACAATTTAAATGGAGCACATAAAACAGTTATACAAACAAAAGAAATTAAAGAAATAGCAATGCAAGCACCAGAAGGGCCCGCTATTCTTTATTCTTCTGATTTATTGCTGTCAAATCAGACATAAAAACTTTGAAAATACGCACAATCCACACAAGTAGTGCAGAACATTGTGTATTTATCTTCCGTATTTTGGTTTTCTTTGGACAGGCATTACCACATTCAGCCTGTTCCGAAGTATCTCCCAAATCATGAAAGCATTACGCTGTATTCTTACCCTGGGAGTCACCAGTAATGACAAAATATATATTTTTACTTAACTCTGCACATGCTGTCAACTGTACTAATAAGCGTATCAATGGCTATACCTATTCCACACAGTTAAGACCAGGGGGCAGCAATACTGTCAAACACAAACCTAACAGGTTGGTTTCTGACAAATCTATAAGCAACCATGACTTAGTTACAAGAGGAAAAGAAGAACGGAACAGCTACAGTTATGGAAAAGCTGCAGAAGTTAATCTAGGTTACATAATAAAAATAAAATATATAATTTTAAATGTGAATTTACAATCACTCTAGTCAGTTGATGTAAACAATAGCACTGTTACAATTTTGAACATAGACATTTTTTCTACTAAGGCAACTTTAACTGATCTTAATCCAATGGAATTATATTTTCTATACCCAAGATTATCAGGGGAACAACATAATTAAATAATTAATATTCTTTCCTTGCACACCAAATGTTTTGCTCATGCCAGCACTCAGCAAAATTAAGACTTGTTAAATCCATCTCCTAGAAATGTGCTGGCTCCTGAAGAATTGACAAATACTCGATGAACTAAGTGTATAATTTAAAGCAACAATTAACTGCAACCTATGCAACAACAGCAAAAAACTGTCTTCTTCCAGTGTCATTATGCTTGTACCTTCAAGCAAGCACAGGGCAAGAGAAGAGCTATACACTGTCTTCTTTAAAGTCATTTGGAAGACATTTCCTCATAACTGCTGACCTAGTCCATAGGAAATCACACTGAAGCCTCAAATAGGAAGCAGGAGACTGATGTCTCTTAGAAACCAGCTCTGGAAGTTTATCCATTTTCACACTCCTATTTCTTGACAGCAAAGCAGAGTGAACATTTAAATAATGCTCATAACAAGCATGAAAAAACCCCAACACTGAGGCTTCAAGGTTGAGACGCTGAGAGTATGTAATCACTTCTGCTGCATTATTTTGCTCCTCTCCTTCCACCAATTTTGTTTTCATATTGTTTCCCTCACTCCACATTCATCCCTTCATCCTTACCTCATTTCTTAAACCAGGTCTCCCTTGGCAGATTTCTGCAGTCAGAGTTCTGCGCTGACTTGATGTAACGAGTGGCCGGGGAAAACCTCTAAAAACGCTCCCAAACAAAACTCATCCCTTATCTTCCCTCTAAAAATACCAACATTCATGCATTTTTTACTACTGCAACAACCGACAACACTGAAAACACCAAGAAGTACCACAGTAATATTTAAGTTCAGACAACTGCTTTACGCACTAATCTTTGAGACGCCAAGGCAGGAAAGCTTTCTGTAACTAGCTCAACACAAGAGCAAAGTCCCACAATTAAAAGACCAGATTACATGCATACCAACGCCTCTGGCTCCCGTGGATTTGGGCGGGTAGTGCTGCCCCGTCCCTGATGCTCTCTCAAAGACAGAGGGGGGGGAAAGAAAAAAAGAAAGGAAAAAGGAAAATAAAAAGGGGATGTGGGGTGTAGGTGTGTTTGATTTACCTCTTCCAGCAGCGTGACCGTGTTCCTGCAGTTCTGCAGCCGGGTGGTGAAGCTGGAGGTGGTCGGGGAGTTGTAATCCTCTGTGGTCTCGGCGATGAACTCCGACACGGTGATCTGGTCCGGCATGATCCTGCCCCACCGGTAAAGCCCAGGAGGAGCCGAGCACACAGATCCGGAGCGAGGAGAAGCCAAGTTTCGGGGGGCGGGGGGAGTGGGGGGCGGGAAGAAACGGAAAAAAAAAAAAAAAAAAAGGCAGAGGAAGAAGATGTTACACAAGCCAGCAGACTGCAGAGCCATTCAAGCAGCGGGAAGCCGCAGAAGGGAGGCGAGTTGAGGCTTCGGCCCGCTGCATCCAGCCGCTTCCCCGGCCGCCCTCCTCCTCCTCCGGGCAGGAGGTGAAGGGGAGGACGCCCCGCACGGCGCCCCTCGCTTCGGCCCCGCCGGTGGGGAGCGCTTCCCGCCGCCCCTCAGCGCCCAGGCCCGGCCCGGCCCCCGCCGCGGCGCTGCGGGGAGGGCGCGCGGGAGAGGGAGCGGCGACCGCGCCGAGCTCAGCCCCGTTTCCCCACCCGCGAATCGAGTTCCCCCACGCCCCCCGGCCTCGGCCCGCAGCTCCCGCCCGATGGGAGCACTGACTTTGTGCGGGGCTCGGGGCTGCGCCCCCCGGGCCGGGGAGAGCGGGGCCGGGCCGGGCCTTGGGCGGGGCGGGGCGGGCCGGCTGCCGCTCTGACGTGGGCACGCTCGGCGGGGCTCGCGCCGCGCGCCGCCGCCGGCGGCCGGGGGACAAACGAGGGAAGCGGCTCCGCGCAGGCGCAGCTGGCCGTTCCACTTGCCCCGCCCCGCGGTGGGGGCGGGGGTCGGAGGGGGGGAGTGTGTTGATGTGCCTTTTTCCCTTTTCTACGGCTTAAAAAAAAGGGCTTTTAGGTGAAAGCAGGCAAGGTCGCCGAGTGCTGGGGCCCAGCGCTGTCGCCAGCCGGGGGAATGGGCTTCCTGTGCCGTGTGGCAGCAGGGAGGGACGGTGTGCCCGCCCCGCGGTCCACGGAACCCCTGGGGCGAGCAGAGAGGCTGTTTCTTTTTCCCCTCTCTTAGGTCCGTTACTGCCGGTCGGAGCCCCATCCGCCCGCGATGTAAAGCCGGGGGTGTTGTGCAGCCCCCGCTGACAGAGCCATCCCATTCCGCAGCCTGGCTGTGTAGGTTTTTACCCCCCTCATACTTCGTTAATTTTTAAGAAGTCCTATGTCTCAGAGAAGCTGCTGTCGCCGATTATGTATTACCTGAGCCTTCCCAGAGCGAGGGCTCTGTCTCTGCTGCGATGGCCGGGTCGCAGCAGCAGCAGCGCTGCCCCAAGACCTGAACCGCGGGGCTTGCAGCCCTGAGTCCTCTTCAAAGCACTATTTCTGAATAAGTTAACATATCCTTTTTTCCATTATTGCGTCATGTAACTCAGGGAACTGACAGACAGCTCTAATGATATTTTTTTAAGCTTAGGTTTTGGGACCCATATGTTCCTTTCTAAAGAAGGCTAAGTCTCAGGAGGCTCAAGTAATTATGGTCATCTGCTGTATCAGTGTGATTTATTTAGCCATACTATGTGATTTCCTACTCTTTGTGTTTGTGATTCTCTTCACATAAGCTCAGCCATTCAGGAATGGGAAGTATACTCAAGATTGAACAGCTGAAAGTGAACAATATTATATGGCTATATCCATTTCAAAAGTTTTTATATTCTCTGTATAAGGACCTACTGCATTACTATGCATTTGGGCTTTTACACAGTTTTGTATGTAATTCTAATAAAATGACTGTACAACTCAAAAATAGTTGACAGTATCAACTAAAGGCTGCAATGCCTGAGTAAGCATAAAGATACCTGATTTGTGTATACCCATAAAAAATCATTTGTATGCAGTTCTGCCAGAAAAAATATGACCAATACTGCTGAGAAATGGTCCTGCCTGAACATGTTTCTTTGATTTCATTGCCTTAGCAGAAGCCCTCCATATGGCCATGTGATTGCTGCTGCTGCTGCTGCTGCTTCACGTGATCCAGCTTTCTGGCACAAAGGCTCAGAGCTCGTACAGATGATTGTTAAACATCATGAGACTCTGCAAGGTAGAGTAGGCAAGAGGAGGAGGAAGCCAAGAAAAGAACTGTGTGGGAGTTGCACTGAAAAATGGATTTGGGAAAAAAACAAAACTGAAGCACTGAAGAAGGGACTGGAGGGGTAGGAAGAAAATCAGTTGAGGATCCTGTTCGCAAGAGCAGTGGAGGAGGAAGAGAGATTAAGAAGATAAAAATGGCTGGTGGCATCAAAAGCATTATGGAGAGTGAAGAACTGGCTGGGGGGTTGGGCCAGGGAAGAGCAGTTGGTAGCATCCAAAAGAGCTGCTTCAGCATGCCCAGCCTGCATGGAAACTAGATGGGCGAGGGACTGGGATATGGCCTGAGGGCCAAACAGGGTCTCTGTGGTCATCCCTTGTAATTTCCTGCAGAACATCAATCATGGGCTGTCACACAGCTGTTCCTGGGCCAGGCCTGTGGTCTGCATGACAGACATGGTGTTCACATTAGGAAAAGTCCTGATCCCTCTCTAGCAGATATCAAGTGAGGATAAATCCATTGCACTGATGGCCTAACTGGTTTAATTAATTGGGTACTCTCGCTGTTAAGGTTGAACTGCTCCTCTTCAGGCTGAAGTTATTGAGCTTGAGCACTAGTCTCTGGACTGTAAAATAACCTTATGTGCTATCCCAAACAAATCCTACCTGAAGGAGTGCAGACAGAAGCTGGACATACTGCTAAAGATGTCATTTCTGCAATACTATTTTGAGAAAATTTAAAGTGCAGAACTGAAGAGCATGTTCAACTAAGAAGAGGAGTAGGCAGGCCAGGGAAACTGGAGCAGTGAAGAGTGACAGAAGTGAAAGCTGAGTAGAGAGTAACAGCAGTTGAGCTTCTGTGTTACCTCATCAGAAACAAATTATCTTTTGAAATGAAATATTAAATATATAAAAAGTAGAATGAATACAGAAGAATACTGGTAAATAAAGAGAACAGGACAAGGCCTAAAGAAAAACGAAGATCAGTAATTACCAATCATAATTGCCTTTTTTTTTTGACAGTTCTGAAATTTTTAACTCTCTTTAAGAGAACATTGTGCTCTGTTTTGCTGCATAGAAGTAGCATTTCCCTGCCCCTATACAAATGTTGGTAAAGAAAATAGCCCTGTGGGCATGACCTCTTTAGGCTTGGATTATCTTCACTTAAACTCACTGGAAGCAAGATTAGTTAATTAATGTGATGTTAATAAAAGTAAATTATACAAGCTGCCTATAAAAATGTGCTTAGGTTTAAACTAGTCAAATTATGTAAGTATGTCAGATAGTGTTTAGTGGATTTCAGATTTTACCATGTCTCCTGTTTTGAATTGTGATCAGTATCTGAGATTAAATTCTAAATTTGTAGGATGCACCTCTCTATAAATTGTCACTAACTGAAGTCACTGTTTCACTTCACAAATGTCAAAGAATAATCATCAGTGTGTGAAAGTTATATTTCACAGTGTCTGCTCTAACGCTATCTTAGTCTGTGCTAGATCCTGGGGGAGGCTGTGCTGCAGCCTTTTTCTCATGGAAGGCTTGCCAGTGAAGTTATGCTTATCTCACTCCTCATGGTATTCTGAAGTGAAATGCATCTCTGTGTCCATCCTGGGACAAGCTAGTGCTGGTGAGGATCATGCAAAGAGCATGGGGAAGCACACACCTTACTGCTGATGCCTTGCAGTCAAGGAACCTGTGCTGTCTTGCCATTCCACCCAGTGTTTCAGTCTACAAATCCATTTAATTCCCTGGCTTTTTGTACCGTGATTGCCAACAGGAGAGTTAATTACAGCAAATTGATAATAATTCTGCAATATTGGTGATAGTCACCATGTTTAGGGAGAGGCTAAGGAACATAGCAATGAGAGTACAAACTACTAGCACAGGTGTTGTGCAATAAACTGAATAGCAACTGTAGTATTTTCATTTTATAGACCTCTAGACAGCTTATATTTAGATTGATATCATCAGTTCATTCACAAGAGCTGAGAGCAGGAGTCATCAGGTGATGATGACTATTGTCATCATTGCAAACTTTGCAGCATGACCAATATGTGCTAGAGGTGAAGAGCTACATGACACTTGCACAGCTCTTCACATCATCAATGCAATTAACTGTTGAAACCACACAGTGGTGAGGTAGAGAACAAGATTTTCTTTCCACTATAGATAAGGAGCCAGATAGAGAAGCCTGTGGCCCTCCTGTGATTGTGGCTCTCTAGCTTTGGTCATGCAAAGTCAGCTCTTCAGGATATCAACACCTCATCTGGGCTGAAGCTGGTGGTGGATCTCCTGTGGGATATGCTTATGCTGCCCACAGAGAGCAGCCCCAGGACCACCCTGAGGTCACATTTCCCTGCTGCATAGGAAGCAAGATCACAGATACAAACCACAAAGGTGTGGTTGCTGCTTGATTTTGTAAACAAGCTTGACCCAAGTCCCTGGCTGTACACCAATCCCTGCCGTCAAGCATGCTCAGACAAGCTGCCTCCGGGGCCATTTGCAGCCTGTCAGTGCGGTGCTGAAGTGAATTGTTAGCTGGAGAAGGAAATCACTGTGCACAGGGCTACTGTGCAGATGACTCCTTTTGATTAGTACAGGCATAGTCATGCCAAGATCTCACATGTCAAATTTGGGGTTTTTTGATTGTCAAGTATGAACAAGATAATTCCACTTTGCAAATGCGGATTTACAACTACACTCATTTCTTTGCTTGCAAGGTTCCTATCTTGGCTATTACTGCTGATAAAAATGGTGTAGATTAGACATTAGTGTCTAATTAAAACATAAAATCATTGAAATTCACGTGCTTTTGTTAGTAAACTACGTAGTTGTTCTTTTTACGCTCCTTAACATCTTCACCAACATGGAAAGTGTCACCAGCTCAGCAGCAAATAGCAACAGAACTAGTGGTGTGTTAAAACTCATCAGGAAAATATCCTTAGGCTATGTTTCTCTACTATACTGCTGTCCTGAATACATTTGTGGTTTGGTGTTAGATTTATCCATTTCAGCTAAACACAGCAGTCAGCATTACTTCCCATCCTCCTCCTGATCCTAACTCACTGTATGAGATCCCTGTAGGACATAAGACAGCGGTGGTATTTGATACCCAATAAAACTGGTTTGAGATTCCCCGAGAAAATGTCTCTATGGTAAATTGCTGTTGCTACATTTTTATAATATTATTTTCAGATAACTTCTGACAAAATTAATGGGAAAGGTTTATATAAATTTATGGCCGTAAGTACTAGAATATCCACAAATATTTCTGAACATCAGCTGTTTGAGTTGAATGTTGGGCTTAGAGGATAAAAGAAGCTTCAAATCAACAAGAATCTCAGCAGGCTGAGTTTTGCTTTTGGTTTTGGAGTATCTCATGTGCTAAAACTCAGTAAACTTTTTTTTTTAATAGAACTCCCATAGTTTTGTTTTGAAAAACAAAACCACACCATTTATGTAAGGACACGCAGCAGCAGCAGCACTTTGTACTTAGTGGAAAATGTTAAGTCAGGAGGTGCTTCACCTCCAGGAGCTGTGTCCTCTCAGAGGATGGTACCAACAGCTGACTGAACCTTGTAGAAAATGTAGCAATTACATATTTTAACCTGCAGCATGTTTACACATTTAATATCACATAAGTGGGTGATATAGTCACCGGAAAAGGCAAAGCCTATTTTAAACATTGAAGCCTACATCACACATTGTGATGGGTGCTAATTTGCTTGAAGGAAACTTATATGGTAACTGCGGAGTGTTTCTGCTTGAGAAAGAAGGCTGTTGGCTTTGACATTTGCAAACAAATCTTTGAAATGATAGTGTCGTTGGGACAGAACAGTCAGGTAATTTTCCAGCCAAAGGAAACTGTTCTTGTCTATATCATATTGGTGTACATGCAGAAAGCCAAAATCCAGGTTCAGGAGACATGCTGATTGCAATTCTGTGGTTTTAGGTGACAGTATCTACCAATGCGGTTTATGGACTACGTGAGCTGCATCAGCAATTTGTGTTGCTGCTGTGACTGTTTTCAGTACAAGGATCAGCTGATTTCAATTTTAATACTGGCATCTCTGAGCAGTTGTCTTCATTTGGTATTTAAAATAAGATATGAAAACATAAGCAACTGTCTCAGAAATTACAGTATTAGTTTAAAAGCCTTTTAGCACTAACAAGAGTGGCCTAAACAGAAGGTTCTTTTTGCATTCTTTCAATATTAATATGATAGCAAAAAGAGAACTCATTGTGTTCTCGTTATAAATGACATTTTGGTAACATTAAGATCTTGCAGTTTTAACACTATGTGTACCAAATGAAAAAGATTAAATCAAAACATCATAAATATTCTGCTGAATGATATGTTTTCCATCTTATTTACTTGAATGTCCTGGGTGAGCAGCTTGGCTGGTGATAAGTAAGCTCAAAGAGCGATCTCAAAGGGCAGCTGAAAATAACAGCACTGAAAATGAAGTGCAGCATTGAGTTACACAAGATTAAGCTGACTAATCTGCTGACTCAGTTTTGCCTTTGTTTTTTGGTTTTGTCATGCAAGATCAAGAGTCATGCAGACAAATGCGTAATGGCATTCCAGGCTAACAATAATAACACTATCAACAAGCAATGGGATTTTCTCCTGCAACCTCTGCATCCTCCAAAGAGAAAACAGGAAAATGCTCACCTGTGGCAAGAGGCAGCAGCCTCAGGACAGGGAAGGAGTGTTCCTTTGCTTATTACAGGTGTACTGAATTTGGTACTTCTGTTTTACAGAAATGTTTTGTTAGAGTTGCTTATTTAAGAAACCTTACGTCATACTGCATATGAGGGGCCTAGAAGGGAAGCCATGCAAGGAAGTGGCTGAGGTCACTTGGTTTGTTCAGCCAGGAAAACAGGAGACTGAGGGGAGACCTCACTGTGGTCTTCGACATCCTCATGAGGAAAAGAGGAAGGACAGACAGTGATCTTTTCTTTTTGATGACCAGTGACAGGACCCTAGGGAATGGTATGAAGCTGTGTCAGGAGAGTTTTAGGCTAGATATTAGGAAAAGGGTCTTCCCCCAGAGGCTGGTTGGACACTGGACCAGGGCAGTGGTCACAGCACCAAGCCTGCCAGAGTTCAAGACGCATTTGGACAATGGTGTGATTCTTGGGACTGTCCTATGCAGGGCCAGGAGCCGGACTTCGATAATCCTTGTGGATCTCTTCCAGCTCAGGATATTCTATGATTCTGTGTGTCAGGAGAGAACCAGATTCAAAATACAGCCCTTACAACATCTTCAGAATATAAAGCAGCAGCAGCATACTTTTCTATATGGGCCGTAGTTTGGACAGCCCAGAGATATCAAACTCTAATGAGTGCTGATGGATGAGAAAACTGTCAGTGGAGCCACTGGAAAGTTTAACCCTTGCCCAGGGTGTGAATGGGAGCCTACTCTTTACTCACAGAGATGGTCATGTAAGAACTGCTGATCCCTGGGAGCTGCTCTCCCAGCAGTTCCCACCATCACTGCTTTGGTGAGGTTGAGGACCAGCACAGGAAAACCTGTCAGTGGTTATCCTTGCATTCCTGACCCTGAGCGAATCCTTGGAGGATTGTTGGAAGGGCACTGCAGACACATTGGCATGAGAGCAGGCCGTGTCCATGGGATTGCAAAGGACAAGATGAAGCCAATATATCATGAAAGGGTACTCTGACTGAAATGAGAAATAAGAGTCCTTCCAAAACAGGAATCATAGTAGCTGAATGCTTTTTTTTTTTTTTTTAATATGAGAAATAGCAATGACTAAAATTGGAGAATGATACTGCAGAAATGAACATGTTGCAGGGCAGCTGGCATAACAGGCTCTCCAAAACAAAAAGGGAATGAAATAAAGCCTCAACCCACATTGCAAACATTTCAATATTTTCTCTTTCCCTCTGGAAATGATTTGGCTGTATCATTACCAGGCACATCTCTGATTCTACCTAAGCAGCTAAATGTATGCTGATGGCAGCATGCATTTTGCCTGCAGTGAAAATGGAGGTTCAGACCAAAAGGAACCTGGGAAGTAGTTTGAAAATGAAATAAAGGCTCTGTACACCTGGGATCATGTCTTCGGGGTGCCACTCATGGCTCTGACATGGCACTTGATCTCTGTGTACATCATTTCTCTATCTGTGGAATGCAGACAACTACATTTATTTTTCTAGGTGAAAGCACACTGGGCTTTTACAGCTGAGTACTGCTATATCAGAACTAAGTATTTTTACTATACATTTTACTGCAAGAGTTTCAAATAATAGCTGAAAGATGGGAAGGGCTCCCAGGCCAAACAATTTTGTCACCATTTTATTGGATAGATAAAAAGGTTTGGCAGGTAAATGAAAAAGTTCATTTCTACTAGTTGATCATGATGTGAGAATATAAAGCAGAAAGATCTGGTTTGGTGATGGAGTTCCCCTCTGTATTATGATTTTTTTAGCATAAAAGCAGTACTTTGTGGAAGAAGAAGGACTAAGACCCTAAACAGAGGCACAGAATTCATTTGTGCCTTTACACCAGCTTTGCTAAAACACGGTTTGCAGACATGAATGTATATGGACATACTGAGTTGAAGTTCAAATGCTGGCTTATAGTGTTGACTGAGCATATTTAATTTGTTAATTTCCTAAATAGCATCTTGTTAGAGAAATGCCGGAAATAAATCTGCGCATGTTGGATGTTATAAAAAAGGTCCTTGCAACCCCTGAACTTACTGGCACATCTGTGTTTCCCTCATGTAAGCTACTATTGTCAAAGATGCATCACTTAGCCACACTCTGGACTTGAATGTAGCACAGGAAATTTTCAATTCAGGAGCGATGTCTTTTGGTTTTTAATGAGATTTTATTTTGTTTGGGGTTTTTGTTTATTTGTTCGTTTTATTAGGTGGATCAATATGTTTAACAATACATAAGACCTGAAATAATTAGAGGCATATCTACTTTAATGCTCAAGCAAAAGTTTTTAAATATTTATTTTTAAATATTTAAAATTATGGTCTGCATGCTTTTTTAATGTAGATGTTTGAATGTTGAAGTTATGGGGTTCTGTTAAAACTCAGGATGTCAGATAACCATATGGAAGCTTTTGGAAACTAGTCTTACTGTGTGAACCAAATCTCTATTGGATCAGTGTTTACATGGTGCTAAATGAAATAAAGAAGTACAGAGTTTCAGTTGAGAAGTTCACCACAGCAACCCCTTTCTCTGGTTACTCATTTGCTTCTACTTTTAATCACTGAATTCGAGCTTCCATCTTCCTAAGTTAACTGGCTCTCTTGTAGAGTGACCATCTGCTCATCTATCCTGCCTCTAAGGATTTTTTTAAAGCAATGCTCATCCCATAAGATTTGTAAGGAGGGTAGAAAAAATGTCAAAATCCTTCGGTTCATAAAAGTGTTGTGGGAAAATAGAAATGAGCAGAGGAAAAAGTTGTTTCTGGCCTTCGAGGATAGGAGAGGCTCACCATCATCTTGTTCTTTATCAAGATGATCAGTGTGGGAGAAAGATCCTCCAAGTGTCCCAGTCATGGGAAAAGTTTCAGTGATGGTTTGCACTTCCTCAAGAGCGGCAGTCAAGACAAAAGTATGAAATGAAACTGGGTTTAATTGATTTCAGGGAACTTAACACTACTTATTTTCTTGTTGGTGGTTGTGTTTTATTTCTCCAAGAAAATCTAGGAGCGTAAAAATGTAAGTGCTATTTCAAAATCAAATAAGAATGTCCAGCTTAAGAGCTTCATGCTTTTTCAAAGATGATTGTTTGACTTCTGAACTTTTGCTTATTTAAGACATCATAGACTTAAAAAGGAAAAATATGTGTAGCCATGTGACAAAGCAAATACACCAAAGGAGGATTTATTCAGTTTTTAGAAGATCAGCAGCAGTGATTCACCCTCTTGGCTGCTCTGGAGTGCAATATGGTCAACTAATTCCTCCAGGGAGGAAGAAAAGATGAAAGTCCCCCAGCGTTGCGATGGTCACACGGGGAGCAGTGACCTGTGCCAGGGCAGCTCCAGCCAGTGCACCAGGTACAAAGAACACTGCAACCTTAACCAGCAGTGTTGTGGTTCAAGTTAGGCAATCCAAATGTAGCTTTTAGTGGCTCAGTGAAACACAGTGGAAACTTTAAAACAAGAGCACTCACCATCCAGAGACTGAATAAACAAAAGCATATTTAGACAACTGTGTGCTATTCAGCACTTTATATCATGCAAAGAGAGTCCCTCCTCTTTTCAAGCCCCCGCACAAATCTTGCCATAGATTTTTCAGGCTGATCTCAGAGATTTCTTGTTTTCAAAGTTAAAACAACATCAGTTACTAGATCTAGATGAGTTGAAAGGAGTGTCCTTTTTATTCCCTGTGTCCCTTATTCAGCTTTGAAATCTATTACAGCAAAGCAAAGTATGTAATAAATGTGTTTGTTTAAGTACGTGCTCAGGTAATCAATGTTTTATAAGTATTTACTGCTTTATTGGAATTTTTGATCCTTGGAAGGATCAGTAATTTAGACATTTTCTGAGAAACACGCACTGTAGTAATGTCCAAAGTGGCATTAAGCAGAGAAAAACCCCACTTGCAGGTATTACAATTGATAAAATCAGTGTTTTCTGGGCTTATTTTTCATAGATTCTGTGGTCTGCTTTTTACTCTTTAACCTGGTCATTTATGTTTATGTCTTTTGTCTTTCTTACCGATTCCATAGTGAATCTCTTGAAGAAAAACTTGAAAGCCTGGATGCTGAAGATCTCATGTCTCATCTGTCACGACCAGAAACCTACCTAGATGAGGAGAAAAGATCAAGGAAGTAAAACTGACCAAACTACGGCACTGACAAGGTCACTTACTCAAACAGTCAATATGAAACAATGTCTGTTAATCCTTCAGTGATGGCAATTTATCGTATATTATTTGATCACTGAATTTGATATTTTGAATTTCATTGTGGTAATGAGATCCAATAGAAATCCCCTGAAAAATAACACCTTGTTAAAAATTGCTACAGGAGAGTTTCATTTAGCTGGCTGGGAAAACTCTCTAACTCAATGTGGCAACTACTCACTCAGCTGCACTGAGTGCAGCGCTGGTAACATCATCTGTCCAAGTTGTCTGACACTTCAGAAGACCCTGTTTTCAGATATAACTTCAGTCTAATCATTCAGGCTGAAAATTTCCATGTCAGGTGTATGCACCAGACTGATCTTTTTTGGAAGATGGAGATAAGATTTGAAGGATAAAGAGACTGGGAGCAAGAAATGTTCTGACGGGGAGCAATCCTGCATGTAAGAGAGGGAAGGAGGGTGTGGGGGGACAGTCATAGCACACCATGGAAAAATGGTTTTGCAGTTTTTCATCAGACTTCTCTGCTATTATATTGTGTACTCTTTCCAGGTTAAGCATTGTGTTGCTCTAGGGGAAGGAAGGTGTTAAGAGATGCTGCAGAGCCTCAGGAAGGTAGGTAGAACTGGCACATACCTTTCACTTTGAGCCCTTCTGGGCTTATCTCCATGTTAGGTCCAAAAGGACAAGGCAGAAAAAAGATTGACAGGGTTTTGGGGCCAGATATTGGTGCTGGGAAGGCGAATGCTACACAGAAGACATTGCCATGAGTTGATAAAGCAAGGAGTCTGGGACAAACCCCATGAGACAGAGAGATGTGGACTGGGTAAACCGGCAGAATGGGAGATGTGACAAGGACCCATAAGGATGAGATTGGGATCAAACAGAGGAGCTAAGGCCACAGGGGAGTGGGAGGCCATTCCCAGATCACAGCCTTTGCTTAACCAGTCTGCCCATTTTCACTTGAGCGCATCACTTGATTCCTTGATTCCATGAAGAAAAGCACATTTCCTCCTCTATAAGTCTTTTTTTTTTAACCTTCTGTCTAAGAGAAGTCTGGTTAGGCCTGTTGACCTATTTCCCCAGAGACTCCTGTAGTTTGTTTATGGGTTTTGTCCTGTTTGTTTGGTGTTTCCAGATATGTCATGTGGGTCTGGAGGTTTGCCAATCCTCAACATTAAAAATAACAGAATAATCCCTGTCTCCAAGACACATGAGATTCAATTAAAAATTGCAACATAAGACTTTTTGGATGGGATGTTACTATCTCATTTTTCCTTTCTGTTTCTGAGCCTTTATGATACTTTCAAGTGATGTTGTCAAGAGCTTTTTTGTTATTAGGAGGGATAGGCAGCTCTTTAAACAGCAGATTTCAGATTTTTACATACTGGCTGGAAAGGATCTGAAATTCTACCAGGTATGCCACCAATTTGGTAGCACAGGAGAAGAAATGGCTATGGAAATGGCTCGTAAGGAAGAGGTGAGTCCTTTGATTTGAAGTAGCAAGAGAAGTATCTACCTTAAACCAAGAACATTATGCCTGAATGTTGTGTTACATGCATGAAAAAAGTTGTTAGAAGAAGGTCTGGGCACTGCACTGGTTTTTTTTGTGAACTGGGAAGGGCCTCCCCTGACAGACAGCTGAGTACCACCATCTTACAGCAAACCCATAGCCACTGGCAACCCTGGATCTGATTCAACCCATGATGACATGTCTGCTTAAAACTGTTTAATTTTACAGCACGCCTCTTTCTTTTAATTATATTATCCATCTCCTTAGGCAAAAAAATCACCTTCATCATCATAGGTTTATACTATTCAAATCAAAGCGAGAAATAAAATATATATAATGGCTCATTGCTTTCTAAATTGGGCGCTGACCTGAGTTGACGAGTAACTATGATTTACATTTTGAATTGATGGCAATTTATTTTTCGTAAGTCTAAAAAGTCACAGAGTCTCTTTACATCTGCTATAAGAATCTACTGAATATTATTTAATTATTCATTTGCTATAAGCAGAGTTATCAACATTTTTGGTTAGATCTCAGGGGTTTAGGATGACTATATTCCCTTTCTACATCTCCTATTCATTTTTGGGCCTCTTGGTACAACAGCAACCAGCAAATAAATGAAATATCAAAGAAATCTAGAAAAATATTTATAAAGAAATCAAGTTGGTTGAATTTATCATCATTGATTGGTGAGAAACAGCACTGAGAAGGAAACATATGCGGCTCTCCTAGAGAGAGAAAAGGTGGTGAATGTGCTCATGTGGGTTCAACACTGAATCTGTGACCTTTGGACAATTTATTAGGGCACCATTCAAATGGCAAATTCTTCAAACCTTATGCCCACATGAGTGATTTGTCTTTTGAGGCTAAGTGCAGCTTTTACGAAACTCTTGAACTAAAGACAGTAGTAGAATTTAGGCTGCGTCAAGATGGCATTTTGACTCTATTTCTCACCCCCCAAAAAAGGAAAACCAATGCTTCCCAACTGTACTTGGCAATGTGAAGATAATACTATCAGGTTTATGTAAAATCCTTACATATGACAGTATGTGAGTGGGAGCAAGTGGGAGCAAGGAGTGAATATGAAATATAAAAACCCAGAAGAGACAGAGAACAATGAAAACCAGAGAAATATGATTGCCTTTTACCCAGGGACACCTACACCTAAAAAGAGAAAAACTACTTGGGGTTTCAGTAAGAAGAGGGTCTAACTAAGAACAGGTTGACACTAATGGCAGCTGGGTGGCAATTTAATTCAGTACAATAATACAATAGCTGATTCCATTAGGAAAGCATTTTTCTTGTGCCTGATTATAAATACATACAATTATATTGAATTAATTGGTACAGTCTAAGTGCTTGACTAATTCTAATGCTTAACTAATAAGTATAATGAGTTGAATCCCTATATTTTTAAACTTTTAGAACTGGTTAAGTAGTATGGAGAGACAATGGATTCTCAGTAACAGAATATAAAATTTGCCAATATATTTGGTAGTAGTCAAGAAGAAAATCTTATTCAGGGATTTTGCAGAGGAGAAGAAAATATCAGGAAATATTTTGTACACTATTTAATTACCTGCATTAGATATTGCTTAAACTCTGTGTGATTTCATGCATAAATCATTTAATGACTTAAATTGTTTTTTATTTTGGAGGTTTTGTTTTTGTTTTTTTCTTTCATAATAGAATATACAACCTGGACAGTAATAATATAAATACATATTTTGCAAATATAATGAACATTTTAGGGCAAATACTAACCAGCCAGTTTTCTAACATGCCTGAGCTGTAGTTAACCTAACTAGAAAAACTCAAATGAGCAAAAGTTAATATTGTTTCTACAGTCAGTGATATAACAATAATAGTAGTTGTGTGCCACCATGCTAAAAATCAACTCCCTTTATGTCCAAACAATAGTGTGAATCACATAAATCTGACCTTGATATACAAATGTGATCATGTAGTAATTATAGCTCTTGTGCTTTCTGTATAAACAGACTACTTCATTTGGAAGTGCTGTAGGTTAGTGCTTCATTCTGCAATTTACAGCCAATGACTGAGCAGAAAGCTTTTATATCCCAAGAAGCTTTAAAATAAAGCAGGTAAAAAAAACTTATTTCCTGCAAATGAAAAAATAAGCTGTTATTTGAACTGCTGTGAATCAAATCTTTACTCTGTCTATGTTCTGCTGAAAAGCAGGTCTTACAAATTTAAAGATTGTCTTTGAAAATGACATTTTACAATATTAAAGATATTTTCATGGGCAAAATATAGAATTTAATTACTCAGTCCATGTGATAATTGACATGTTCTTTAACAACTGTGAGTTTAACAAAAATGTCTTTGATTTTGTGCCAGAATCTGCTTGTTCTGTTTGTGTCTATGCTGGTATCATCCAAACAGGATGTGACAAACATATGTTCTTTGGCTTTGTCCTAATCCATGATTTGGATAACACTATTACAATGTGGTCTAACAAACTTCAGTGAAGCAAATCTGAGGATGTTTGTCTGTGGTCTTGATTTTAGTATGTTCCAAGCAATAGAAGCTCTGTCCTGACCTCATACATTAGCTGTATGGGTTTTCAGTGCTTCCATAAAAATACACTATCAAAATATTAGCACGCTTATAAACATGGGCTAAATCCTGAAAGAAAACAATAATGGAAAACTTATTACTGACTTGTACAAACCCAGCATAGAGCCCAGAATTGACCCTGAAGAGCTGACTGACATCCTCTTGATGATGAGTCCCTATTTATAAGGGGTTTTAAGAATGTAAATTGCTCAGTTTTTAATCTATTCAATCATTACATTGATGATTTTAGATAATTCTAGTTTCTTAATCAAAATTTTGTTTAGTGCCAAAAGTGCTACCAAAGTTTATAAGTATTACATCAGTAGTATAGGTTTTTTCCCTGGAAAATTTAAAACCTCAAAAAATATCAAGATAGCTTTCTTGAAATAAAATATATTTTACTTAATTCCATTCTGATTGGCATGAATTGCATTACTTTTCTCTGATTCTTTATAAATAGTGCCTGGAATTAGCCATTCCAGTGTTTTACACTGGATTGATGTCAGGTTATTAATCCTGAGGTCATTCCACTGAACTTTCAAATATATTGGCAAAGTATGAGATTTCTTCTATTCATCTTGAAATACCCACATGTTAGAATATGTATGGAAAATCAACTGAAAAATTCAGAACTTTGCTTGGATGGCGCTTTTAGAAATAGCAACTGAAAAGAAAAGAACCTAGTTTTAGGAGATGGTATGACTGTTAAAATGGAAATTACTTCTCCATCCTCATCTGATATGATTGTCATATGATTATGAAATAATCATGGATGGGCTGTGCAAAAGCTATAGAATAATTGCACTGGACAATTTGTGGTTTAGGAATTCATGCTGCAAAATATGATAATTCTAAAATAATTCCACAGTTTTGTACTGTATCACCACCACACGATGTGACAGCATGTTGCCATAGAGGGCCAGAAGGCCTAAGGGTGCTTGTTTGGTAGATTTCTGCAGCCTCATTCAGAAGCAAATTTTCTTTAAAACTCAGATATATGACAAAGATTTGTGTAAGTCTTTAGATTGAAGGACCCTCTAGTTTTTGAAGCCTATCTTTTGTTATTTGTGTAAGGGCTTCAGGATGATGGTGTTATGAGTTAAATCTCCTTGTATCCACTTAAGAGTGACCCTTTTTATCACTTCTGACTATATCCATCAGCTGTTTCTTGGGCTCAGGGAAGAATTTGTATTTTGTGGAGGCAGCAGCTAATCAGAGTGTCTGCTGCCCAGCTTCAGACCTCTGGAGAGCTTTCACTGATCTCATCAAGGGTATTTTTTTATATTTGATGACAAGGTTGCCATCCATAGCCCAAGGTTCTGAGCTACTTATAATCCACTTCTGAAGACTGTGAGGGGCTAATAACAAACAAAAGTACTTCCTACCTTCTCTGTACAGTGAGTTGCTGCTTAATTATTTACTCAGTACATAGTCTATAGCGAACTGCCCTGTGCATGGTATATAGATTACAGATTAATAATATACTCTGAATGCAACATCAAGCCCTCTTGTCACTGCCCCCACT